ACTATATAAAAAACAAATTTTAGTATGATTTTAAATTTAATAAATATATTTATACTGACCATTGTAATATTAAAAAAATTTTTGATTAAAGGTTTATTGGAATATGGATTTATTTTTATTAGGTGGTTTTTTTCTAAGTGTTTAAAAAGATTAGAGATGCTACTTTCACTACAAGTATATTTAGTGTTGCAATAATTGCAAGAAACTTTTTTACTTTCATTGAATTGGAATCCTTTATAAAATGATTCTACACTTTACTTTTATAATTTATTTTATTACTCAATGATACTTTCGAAAAACTACTTGTAGCAATATTAGTGGTATTACTTAATTCATAGCTATCTAAACTGAAACTTTTATTATTTATTTTATTGAAATTGTTGAAAGAACTATCATATTCTATTTTATTTTTGATGTAAATAATACCAGTAATGTTGCAAGAAGAAAAATATTGTAAAAAATAGTACGAAATTTTAAAGAAACATATAAAGGTATTAAAGAAATATAAAAAAAAATTCAGGGGATTTTTTTTAATTACCTTAAATAGCTACATTTAAATATAATTAAACTGGCAAATTTTATTTGAACCTGACTAGATTTTAAAACTTTAAATCCAATCAGATACATGATTTTAAATCTGATCAAATTGGATTTCAAAATTTGAAATTCAAATCTGATTTATATATAAACGAATCAAAAAATTTAAAATCTGATCTGATTCGTTCAAATCAAATCTGTGGATCATTCAGATTTGAATAAAAATTGCAATCTTTATATGTAGCCAACAAGATGAAACCATAGAGCACTTGCTAGAATGTTCAGCCTATAAAAATCAGTTACAAGAGGCATAGAATAAAGGAGTAGATGGAATCATTAGAAACTTTAAAGAGCTATTATAGGAAATAAAGAGAAAGGTTAAAGAAAAAAATTTCAGGCTAAGCATTGATAACTGTGAAGAAATAGGAGAGTTTGACAAGTAAATTATCAAAGTAGTGAAACAGACTTCTGAAACAAGTCAGAATATACTAAATTTCTATATTGGCCTTATAAGAATTGACCTTATTTGAGAAGTGGCAGATTTAAAATATCAAGGTAAACATATAGGAAGAATAGCAAGAAAGTGAATATTAAAAATGCAAAAAAGAGTCTACAATCAAATTCAAAAAGAAGTCTGAAACAAAAGATGTAAAAAGGTAATTGAATGGGAATGAATATAAAGAATTAGTAAAGAAAACAAGATGAAAAGACCTTCTTGTCTATCAGGCCAGAAAACTATATCCTCGAAGAAAAGAAATCCACTACCTGAAGAAGGAAACCTTGAAAATAAAAGCCTTCAAGACATTTTAACAAGAAAAGTAAAATATAAAATGAAATGATTGGATTTTAAGCTCTGTCAAAACTTCACAAAGTGATTTGCAGTAGTGACCTGCAGGCAATAAAGTTAACAGTTGGAAAGGTTTTTATCTGAACTGCTAATGGAGCAATAAATTACTTCCAAAGTTGTACTTAGAGTTTTAATAATTCTTAAAATAGAGATAAATGAGTTGGATAGAGACTTAGCTTTAGTGATACATTTTTAATGTAAAGTATATATATGTTTAATAAAGCACATATACCTAGTCTGACAGAGGATTTAAAAAAAAAAAAAAAATGAAAACAAGACTCAAAGAAATATACTGTAGAATAAAAATAATACCTTTTTTTTTTTTTTTTTTTGATGGGCTCATGCCTAATTTTAATTATTTTCAAATTACAAGTTTACATTACACAAAGTGCAAATACAGTCATACCTCTCTTATATCACAATATCAGGAAAGGCAAAATTATGTGATTAGGAGGAGGTATGACTATAGCTTAAGACAAACAGGTGATTGGTTTAATAATGACTAATCAATTTAATCAAAAGATTTTGGCAATAATTAACAAAATGTAATTATATACCTCATTTCTGTTTTAGTTAGTTTATTATTTTGCATAAAACTAATTATGAAAGAAAATTCATAAAATAGCAATATGTTATGGTTTGAAAAAGTACTTTAAACTATATAGATTAGTTACTTGGGTAATTAATTTAATCAGCCGATCAGACGTTTATCTTCCTACAAAGTCCATCAATTTGAAACTTACAATCTCAAAAACAATGCTTTAACTATCGATCTTTAGAGGAATATGAATTATATTATGAATAACTTTTGCAGTGATAGAGAAGAGAAGCAAATATAGATGATATATATATGTCGACGAACAAGGAAAGGAAATAGAAGCGAAAAAAATGAGTAAAAGAATGAGAAAATACTATCATGGGGGAAATTGGGATGCAGCAATATGACACACTATCACATTAAATATATGCACAATTCGGTAGCATATAGGAATCCAAGAATCTAAAAACATGGAGATGGCACAATATATTACCAGTATCAATGATATTACATTGATCAAATGAAGCAAGCTTGGAGTTAGTAACTGAGGTGAAGAGGGGTGACGAAGACGGGATCCACAAGAAAAGAGACGGAGGTGAAGGAACAAAATGGTGACATATCGGGAGAAACAAGTGGGGAAATTACAACCGGACAACACGAACCGTATTACATATCTCTGCCAATAAGGAGATCACTGGACCGGAACCTGGAAAAAGGATTAGCATATATGAAGATACCGTGATGTGTCATCAATGATGATACCCCGATCTGGTAAAGTAGGTACAAGGCTAATCAGGTTGCGAGGGATCTAACTATAAAAAATACAGTACAGGTATCCATAGACAATGAATATGTTTGATGATGAAACGAATAAAGCATACAACCTAACTATATTACCACAGCTGCTAATAGATATACTTTGTCGTAATCTTGTGCTAAAGCTTGATGTGATATATCCTGACAACTCTATGATAACCACATCATATACTATAGTTCTGGTGAACAAGTCGGACTCTGTGTATGACGGACTAATTAGAAAAATCCTGAGATTTGATGAACTAATAGTTCAAACTATTTAAAGATTTAATAGAAACATCAATATGACACCTGAAGAATATTGGTGATACTTATCATGTGACCCTATAGCCCGATGTTACTGTTAGGGAAGATATCTCCAACTGATATACCTCCGCCCAGGAATAATTCCTATACAAATAAAAGAAATGGAGTAAGTCTTATGTACGGTGTGCATGAGATAGGTGTGAGAAATGTTATGAGGGAAATTGGGGACAGCAACATTACATACCTTTGCATCATACAATTAGTATAGTTTGGGATCGATGATAGTGTGATAAAAATAGTATTTACTGCCATTGAATAGTTATTTTTAGTCATGATCTTCATTCTAATTCCATTTTTATCTATTTATTTATAATTATTTCTTTGATATTCTTTGATATTCTTATTGGTACTTGATTAGCGTAGA